AAAATTTAATCTAGAACAAAATCGGAGCCTCATGGACTCTGTTGGGAACCTGATACCACAGGGCTTTACCCTCGGCTTCACTATGGGAGTGCCTAACTTGTCATTTTTACCTCTGAGGTCACACAGAGTAAAATTGGTTTCAGTAAATACATGTACAAATACTCTTTACCACATCTAGTACAAAAGCCATAGAACTCCTCTTAGGATTAGGAAAAAAACAGTTGATCATATGATGATGCAGTCTTCTTGTGTTGTATAGTTTATTAGGAGCATACCTAATTTTTTAGAGGACTTGGTCATTGGTGCTCTCATGGGCTTGTGAGCATAAACCCTAACTGGCATTTAAGTTCTTTGACATGTATGTGTGTGTTGGTTATCTATTGCTACACATCAAGATACCCTAAAATTTAGCATCTTAAAACAAGAGTAAACATTTATTATCACACAGTTTACATGGGTCAGGAATTCACAAGCAGCCTAGCTGGATGATTCTAGATCAAGGTCTCTCATAAGGTTGTAGTCAGAATGTCAGCGTGGGCTGCAGACACCTGAAGGCTTGCCTGGGGCTGGGTGATACACTTTCAGGGTGGCTTATTCATGTGGTCAGTGAATCTGTGCTGGCTATATGCAGGAGACCTCAGTCCCTTCACCACGTGTGTGTATCTCCATAGTGCTACTTGAGTGTCTCACATTGTGACTCCCCCTGAACCAAGTGATCCAAGAAGGAGGACAGAGTGGAAGCCAGTGTCCTTTATGTCCCAACCTCGAAAGTTACACATCATTATTTTTGCAGTATCCTGCTGGTTAAACAGGGCAACCCTATACATGACTCATTTGGGCCATCTTGAAAGGTGGCTATCACAATGTATTAGAATGATGTTATATCTTCCTCCTCCAAAGCCAGTTATTCTCTCCATTCCCCCTCAAGTCCATCTTCAGTTTGTACTGTAGGAGCATCAGAAGGGTGGTAATGGGCATTGCTTTCTGGGGAGCTAAGAAGTCGGTGAACTATCATAGTAGCTCTCTAGTTCTTTCCAAAACACTTGTAACTCTGTATACCCCATACAGACTATTTGAAAATTAGAAAGTAAAATAACTCTAACTTTAATTCTTATCATTAATCCATTGATGTGTTTTAATGTAACCCTTTTAGATAATAGAAATAGGCTTCTACAAATCACAGTGGCTTATGTAAGGGTTAGGGACTTTCTGAATGAAAGTCCCCTAAGCTCTTTTCTCCCTTTGCCAGGAAATCTTTTCTGCTGTTCCCTACTGCCGATAAAGGTCATCACTCTCTTCCTCTGCTCCCTCTGCTCAGCTCTTCCACTTGTTAGCCCTGCAGTCTTACATACATTACTTAATCTCTTTGTGCCTCCATTTTGCCATTTGCAAAATGGGAACAATAATTGTACGTATTTCTTGGGGTTGCTGTGTAGGCTAAATGACATGCCTGCAGCCTGTACTTAGTATAATGTCTGGCAAATTGGTAAATATTCAGATGTTAACAGCTAGCTGCTGCTACGGATTTTTATTATGGTGGTGATGATGGTTATTGAAGTCATACTAAACTATAAATTTATGTATTTTCAAATGTCTCTTTTTCCTTTCCATTTATTGAAGTTACTATAAGCCAGGTACTATGCTAAGCACTTCATAGGCCTTATTTCATAAATAGGTGGCATTACCATTTCACAGATGAAGAAATTGATGAGAGGTTAATTAACTTGTTCTAAAATCACACAACTATTAAGTTGTACAGCTAGCTCTTGTTTGCAGTAAATGTGCGTGGAATTGGATTAGATTTTTAAAAGTTTGTCAGTGTGAATATCAGAAGAGCATCTCAAGACTAAAAACGAGACTGTACAGTCAGTCTTTGATGATTCGTAGTTGGATTGGATGCTTTGTAATCAAAAGATCTTAGCCCATCCTATAACCAGGTAGCATCACTTTTACCAGTACGACTATAAAGAAGGGAATGCAGGAGAAGCAAAATGAGCTTTGCTGCTTTTAAAGTTACTATTTCAATGCTTGAGAGGGAAGATTATAGAAATTAAGATAAACATCCAAATCAAGTGACTATCAGAATTTTAAATTAATGAACATTTATTATAGAAGACCCATATTCAGTTATGGTAAAAATAAGTTTACAGAATTGAGAGTGGGAGCAAAATAACCATCTACCAAGAAGAACTTAAGAAATGTAGCTTTGTTCAGTCAGTAAGCCAAGTGTCTGTTGGAATCGCTATTGACTTAGCAGAAATTCATTTTTTATGAGTTTTGCTTTTCTTCTCCTTGTACTTTGTCCCCCCTGAGAAAAAGAAAAATCTGTTCTTTTTCTCAGCAAGGACATGCATGATTTGATTTTAAATGGAGTTCATTGCATTAGGCAAACAAGTTTTTTTGATGAATGAGTACAGTGCTTTGTCTTTAGGTATCAAGGATATTTATAATCAAAAGAGTTAACTATTAAATTTTTATTCATCAAGCAATTATCGGAAATTATTCAGATAAAAAAAAAGATCATTAAATTACAAACCTGAGGAGCATGAGTGTCTTTTCAGATTTTATTGTTCATTGGTAAGTTCATTTTCATTATATGCATACTTAAAAGACCTGCACTTTTTATTCTGATGAGATAAGCAGCCTTTGAATTTATCCAAGGAAGGGGAGACTAGTTTGGGGAATGTCATAAGATCACAGGTAGTAGCCAGTGAAAGGACATCGACAGATTAGTAGCTAAATAGGATTTTGTCAGAGAACAAATTAAATAATGGTCTGGATAACATGTAGATAAACCTTAGTGGGTGTTGGCAGTGGCCAGAGCTGCTAACAGTGCTAGTATATGTGCTGATGTTGTGATCAAGCAGATAAATTCCTGATGATTAGTGAATCTTTTAAGTCCTGGGGAAAATTAGAACACGACAGTTTTAGCTGTCATCTTCACATAACTGAAAATGAGAGAGAAGTGCTATTTGACGATGATCACGCATAGGTTCTGAGTGTCATCCAAAGCATGCGAAATGCTGCAATAAACTTGACTATTTGAGGAACATTATAATTCTGAAATAGCTCTGTGGCCCTTCAGGCTTTCTCTGGCCTGTTGTTTTTAATGCAGCCTGTGCCTAAGTTGTGAAAATGAATGTTTTTCTTGAGAAAGACTTACAGGAGCCTGTGGCCTGCATAGGAATTGGATATTGATGCACAGGCATAGTCCTTTCACTGGCTACTACCTGTGATCTTATGACATTCCCCAAACTGCATAGGCATAGGATATTGATGCACAGAATTTGGGTGATCATTGAGAGTAAAATCCCTGCTAAGCAAGGCATATCCAAGAAAGACCAGAAATCATGAATGAAGCATTTGACAAATTCTATTGATGCACAGAATTTGGGTGATCATTGAGAGTAAAATTCCTGCTAAGCAAGGCATATCCAAGAAAGACCAGAAGTCATGAATGGAGCATTTGACATAGTTATTTACTGATTATGGAAAAGGCTGTTTACCTGCCTTTGGAGAATAGGTTCTATGTCATATACCCTCTCCTGCCACCTGCTCATGTGCCATCCAATGAGTTAATATGGTTCCATGCCATGGGCAATGAGAAGCTAGTGCATGGGCCTGATTCTATGATGTCCGCACTTAACCTGCATGAAAACAGGGTTAGAAGCAGCTATCGCTGTTTTGAAGGCAATTAAAAGAATTAATCATAATAACCATTCAAATTAAGAGAGGTAAACATTTTTTCCCCCAAAGGCTAAGTTAAGTGTATATAAAAGCAGATTGTTTGGAGGGCAGGAAAATCCAGAAATTTAGAAAAGTATAGTTTTTATAGAGTAGCCACTGAAATTATAAACCGAACAGCTAATCCTTAAGGATTACCATGTATCTTTTGGAGTCTTTTGTTTCTCATTGTAATTAAAAAATTCAAAGTAGAAAAATCCAAAGACTGAGTGTTACATTCAGCCATGACATTGTTTACTCATCATAGGATATAGGAGAGCTACAGTCTCCAGAGAGACAAAACTTCTGGGTCTGTTTTTTGGTGTCATCAGCTTTGATGGCCAAAGGTGGTGTGACTTCTAGGGAGATGGTTCTTGCAAGTTGCTCATCCCAGTCCAGCCACTTTTTTTCTTGCTCGGGGCTTAGCGTGAAGTGTTTGGGAGAAAATTTGCCCAGCAGTCTATTTCCAGTCATGTGTGAGATGACAGGGAAGCAGTAGGCTAGCCACTGGAATAGCAGCCCGTTGCCTACCTGAGATGGAGAGCCAGTCCAGACACAAGTAAATGCCCATTTAAATGTTAATGGATACTGTGAAATAATAATGGCCCTTTTAAAGAGGCGAGAGTTAAAGTTATACGTATTTCCAAAGGATTAGGCAGAGTAAGCTCAGTGCCAAAATATTTGACTGCAAGATGCTTTATTAGGTTAAATAAGTGACTTGGTACTACAGTGCCTATGTCTTTTTTGCTAATTGTCTATCTTCCATTTCTATGAATAATGAAGAGGGACTGTACTTAGCAAGCATGTAGCTGAGTTTGATTTACACATAGTACTGCCTGTCAGCACTGACCCATATTAACTTTCATTGACTCCACCGATTTCACTCACTTAGGCAGATAGCATATTGTAACGTGGTTCAGAATTTTTAGCAGATTTTTCCAGCTCTGCATTTTCAAGTGAGCTAGACTCCAACTGAGTATTCATACACTCCTAATCCCAATGGCAACAAGAGCTTTGACAGAAATGGTCTCTGGCTACCTGAGTCTGTAACTTATTTAAAGACGCTATCATCCTGCACCAAGACTAGGCCAAGGCATAGATTTAGCTCTAAGCAGGAAAAAAAGTCAGATTTCATAGTGTTGGCCATATTTAAAACAACATTCCAGATACAGCCTGGAGGACCACACAGCTCACAGTCTACAGTCGAGGCAGTATGCTTTTCTCTCTGGGGTGTTATAGCATTGCTTATGCCCTCTCTTGGGACTTCTAATTTGCAGATGCTAATGCTGGAGACCGTGGACAGACCAATAATGCCGCTTCTGCATCAGCTTCCAACTCCACCTGAACAGTCCCGAGCAGCCAGCTGCACAGGAAGAACCACCAGTTACTTGAGTGTCACTCAGCAACACTGGTCACGTTTGGAAAGAAAATTAAAAAGAGAAAAAACCTGTTCATTTTAGTGTTCAATTTTTTTATTATTGTTGTTGTTCTTATTTAACCTTGTAAAATATCTATAAATACAAACCAATTTCATTGTATTCTCACTTTGAGGGAGATCCAGGGGGTGGGAGGGGATGTGGGGAGGGGGAAATCGGAGCACTAGAACACACAATCTCTCTCCCACGACAATCTTTTTATCAAAAGTCTGCTGTTGTATACTTTAAAAACAGGACTCCTGCCTCATGCCCCTTCCAAAAAAAGACAAAAACTTTGTTCTGTGCTGAAGTTTTTTTGAACTTTGTTTCTTTTAAAGTCAAGTGTAAGACTTTGGTATAGTACACAGCTTGAAATTGGTTGGGAGCTTCGCAGGTGTAACTCAATGGGGACGTAAATGTCACTTGTAAAATTAATCCATATCCTCGGGTATTCGAAGACTTGCCTTTGGCATGTTGGTGGCAGGTGTGGCAGACAAAAAAGGAAATGTATCATTTGTAACCCTGGGATGTCAATAAAGTTTGAAACTGTAAGGGGAAGATTCTTAATTGGTTCGTTAAGATTTTGTTTTGCTGTTAATCAGTGCTAGTGGTGGAGAAAGTCTTGTAGGAGGCTGTCAAAGTAGGAACATGCGTGCTCTGCAGGTGGGTCTTTGCCTGACAAAGGGTTCTCCACAAATTGTAGTACAGTTTTAAACTGGTGACCTAGGAGAAGACTGTGAAAAGGGCCACTCTGGCTGCAGAGGTCAGAAGCCGGTGAACCTGGAGGAAGGGGACAGACAGGCCAGGGGTAGATCTCACCACTGTGAATAAATTAGTCCAGATTTTTTTCAAAAGTTGCTTCCCTTGGACAGATACACTTGAGAGAGGACTTTATAGTTAAATAATGTGAACTGTAACAGTCTACTGGTTTATTTTTCATATTTTTTAATTGCAGATTGAGCTTACAGAAATTGCCACATTCTGCACATAGTTCTAATTTTAAATCCAAATCTAGAATCTGTATTTAATTTCAGCTTTCTTTTAACCTCATGCTTTTTAAATTTTATTTATTGATGCATGTCAGATAGGCCATTATGATTTTAGATGGTAGGACTATTAAAAACTGCACATCAAAATGATATAAACAGTCACTTGTACCTGCTGACTATAGGAAAGTTGATTATATAAATGTGTGTATATATGTTATATATACATAGATCCAATTCTGCCTTTTGTTTTTGTTCACAGTATCAAAATTGAGTGGTTGAAGCGTGAGGAAAAGGATGTTTTCCCCCACACCCATTAAGAGTTTTTATTTCTGTTTTCTTTGTGTATCAGTGAATGGTGTAAGAATCAGTCTCTGTTTTTTGAAGAAAAAGCAATATTCCTTGGAAAGCAAGGAGAGTTGAAGGATTATGTTTGCAGTGAGGAAATAGATTTTCACAACTAGTTTGTTTTTATACTTTTAAGGTTGACATCTTCGTGGGCCTTATATACTCTAAAACAAACCTTAGTCACCTTGGTGCTTATGGGCCGTCACTTGACCTATGAATCTTTAAGGCACAATCAGTTGTACTTAACATTTAAAGATCACTTGAGTGATGGCAGCCTTTCCCTCCTACCCGCTCCTTCTCCACACATCTTCCAAGGTTAGCTGAAAACTGCAGGGCTGCAGAGCTGAGCCCTAATTGTGTGTAACCTCCCTTCACCCTGCTCATTGCCACTTTACGTCATGTTAGGGGTCTCACCCTTCAGGTGATTTGGAAGTGGAATCGCTTGGCAGCCCTCATGCAGGTCCCAGCACCCTGTACTGCTTCTTAACCAAGTGTGTGTGACTCTCCACGAGAGTCCTACTGCCTGCTGAAGTGAACCAATACCCAGAAAGGCAACTGTGAGCCATTGTAGTTTTCACTCACTGTTTTGCTGAGCTCTTAGGCCACAAAAGGGGGTTTCTCAAACCTCTGGTTATATCAGAGTTCATGAGAAAGGAAAGATAAACCAAATCAAACAAACTGAATTTTATTTTTCATAATGAGCTTCTGAGAGCTAATTAAGATCGAAAGAAGTCTGAGTCAAAGTATTTGGCAGCATAATTCCTAAAAGGAGTGGCTTTGATAGACCATTTTCAGGAAGGTTTTATAGAGAAGCTGAACAACAGGTCTATGACAGAAAAAGACCTGCTTTCAGACCAAACTGCCCAGCCAAACGTCTGAACACAGACACTACTCTGGACTTGCTAGAGTCCATGAAAATCTGTCGTTGTTTCAAAAAACACTTTCCCCCCAATAAATGGGGTAAGAGAAGAGAGAGAAGTCAGATGCTAGTCTCTCATTTTATTGTGCGTGTGTGAGGGCTGAGGTGCGTGAATTTTCTTTCTCAAGGATCATGGTGGGATCACAGAACTCTTTTATACAAGTGAGATCCAGGTCTCTGAATATCTTTTGTAAATAATAATAATAATAATAATAATAAAAAGCTCCTCACCAAATTCAAGCTTGTACATTATCTTTTCTTTCAATGTTTTTAAGTTTTATTGTTTTGTATGTAAATATGTGGACCCAGGAACTGTTATTAATGAGCAAAAAGTTACTGTTCAGGGCAGCGATTCTGTTTAATAATCAGACAAAATGTAGACGAGCTTTTTAAAGCCATATAGTTTTAACTCTGTACAGTAGGTACCGGCCTGTATTATTGTAACAATAACTCTAGCAATGTATAGTGTATCTATATAGTTTGGAGTGCCTTCGCTTCCATGCGTTTGGTTATTTTTTGGTTTTTTTGTTTGTTTGTTTTTTGGGTTTTTTTTTTTTTTTGGTTTTTTTTTTGCTTTTCATTTTTAAAATTTGAATTGGTTTCTCTGTCCATGTCTCCCTGTCCCACCCCTTCCCTTTGAAGTAATAGCTCAGTCATAACACAGTGTCTGTGCCCCTTCACAGTGAATTTCAGTGACACGTGCTCAGGAGTGGAAAGAGGAAACCATGTTCATAATCTCATTTCATTCAAGCCCTGCCTTTGTTTTGGTTCTGAACGTCTGTTTCCTCCTCAGTAGCAGTGACCGGTTTCATTTCATACTTAGGCCATCTGGGGACTTAGTATAGTGCCAGGGAGCCCTAGAGCTGGAGGATATCAATAGATTAGATTTTGCTCGTCTCTTCCCCACACCCTAATCATGAGTCTTAAAAACAGCAGAGTCCACACTCATTCTCCTTAACTCCTTCCCTCACAAATGAATGAGAAAGAGAATTGGTTTTTATAAATTAAAATTTCTTAATAGTATCAGGTTTTGATCATCGGTAACCTCAAACGCTGTAGCACGACTACTCGCAGTTACTGCTCGGAGTGCTTCCGTGCCGAGAGGACTGTTTTAGCAAGGGAGCTCTTAGCCCATTCCCGCCCTCCTGCCACTTCTACCCCTGTTCAATGAGATGTCATTTAAATGTCTTTTTTCAAAAATCAGTTTAATTCTTCGTGCCCATCAAGAAAGCCTTTTTTGAAAGAAAAAAAAAATCAAAATTATTTGTTTTGCCTCCAAGTATTCCATACAGGATGTCTTTGAGTAGAAGGAAAAACAAACTTTACCAAACCAAAGGTTGCTATTTTTGAAACATCGTGTGTTCATTCCAGCAAGGCAGAAGACTGCACCTTCTTTCCAGTGACGTGTCATTTTTTTAAATCCTCTTAATTTTTAGATACATATTTTTGGTTTGTGTTTTAACAAAGCCTGCCTAACCAGTCATCTTGTCTGCACCAATGCAAAGGTTTCTGAGAGGACTATTGTATTCTCTATCCCTGTGGATATAAAGACACTGGCATTTCGTTTCTTCTTTTCCTTTTTTAAGGGATTTAACTTTGGACTCTTCCAAAGGAGGTTTGGCCAGTGCCAGATCCCCAGGAGTTTGGGGGTTTTTCTTTGTTTTAAACCAAAATTGTATCTGATTCCTGTTGTTCATGTTAGCGATCATCTAATCACAGAGCCAAACAGTTTCTCCCCTATATAGAAAAATAAACTAAGCATGCTTTACAATAAAATCCGTCTTTTCTGGTAGAAAACCTGAGCCACTGAAAAAGAGAACTAGAAGCAGAGTCGAGTCCCGGACTAAGGTCTACCTACGTTCGAGAGGCTTTGAAAGTAATCCTTGGGGTTTGGATTCTTTTCACAAGGGTTATGATGTTTTTATTCAAGTTTGTTGCTCCGTTTTGCACCTCTGCAATAAAAGCAAAATGACAACCAGTACATAAGGGGTTAGCTTCACAAAGTAGACTTCCCTTGTGTTAATTTTTGTTTTTATTTTTTTTCCCTTACTATATCTGTCTACAGGCAGATACAGATAGATGTATGAAAATGTGCTTGCCTGTAAAATTTGCATTTATAAATGTGTTGCCGATGGATCACTTGGGCCTGTACACATACCAATTAGCGTGACCACTTCCATCTTAAAAATAAATCTTATTGCAAACACTTGTGCAAATCTGTCTTGATATAAAGGAAAAGCAAAATCTGTATAACATTATTACTACTTGAATGCCTCTGTGACTGATTTTTTTTTTTTTCATTTTAAATATAAACTTTTTTGTGAAAAGTATGCTCAATGTTTTTTTTCCCTTTCCCCATTCCCTTGTAAATACATTTCGTTCTATGTGACTTGGTTTGGAAATAGTTAACTGGTACTGTAATTTGCATTAAATAAAAAGTAGGTTAGCCTGGAAATGAAATTAAAATTCACAAGTGTGTGGTCTTTATTTCAGTTCCCATCTTTTCTTCACCCTACCTACTTTGCCACTTCAATATGTAGTCACATCACCATCACTGTTCCTCCAATTAGAAACATGGATCTTTGTTATAAAAATCAAGATACGAACATTTTCTCGTTCTTTCAAATGATCTTATTCCATTGTGTAGCCCTGAGAGGTGCAGCTTCAATCTTGGAAACCTTTGGATTTGGTGTAGAGGAAGTTTGCAGACACTGCTTTGAAAAGAAGTCCCTGAAAGGGACAAATTTTAAAAATTAAAAAATTTTAAGTATGAGCTGCTGTCTTTGATTACTGTGTTTATGGTTTGGTGTAGCTGTAATTTCTTTTAATTTCTCATCCCATTAGTAATGGTCTTTGGGAATATCTGTAAAATATATGAACACCACAAACGGTGGGGCTGTACCTCCCAGGTAACCAACACATGTTGTATTTGAGTCTGCTCATTTCCAATACTGGATGATGTATGTAAACATGTAATGTCTCTTAGTGCAAAGAGAAACATTTTTCTTAGGGCTGGCTCTGTCAGGCCTAATCTAAAGGCTAGATATAAAGTCATGTGACTGCTGCTTCAATAAAAAAATTTATATTGGATAAAGTTTGGTCCTCTTTATTTGTTTTGGGAGGGGTTAGCTAGTACTTGTTTACCAGTTGCAGTGACTGAGGGGGGAGGGGATAAAGGCAAACATATAAGTCACTCATGATGGGGGCCTCCTGATGACATTGAAGTGTATTTGGGATTCACTAATAACATTTCCTGCCCTGTTTAAATAGGAATTGAGCAAGACATCCTTTTAACTTAAAATTCTGGAAGACTACATTTTTAATTTCTAAGTTCTTCCAAAAAGCACTGACCAGCCAGTCCTTTGGGATCACATTTCAGGAGAGCAGTGATAGTGAATGCCGTTTTAGGTGTTCTAAACGGGTGGTTAGGAAAGGAAGAGATCAGGTTGCAGATCCTGTTCACAGAAGTTTGTGAAAGGAGGTGAACAAAAGTGATGGGGTGGTCACCCATTTTTCAGGTGTGAGAATATTTCCCTTACTAGAACCTTCAGATTTAGGAGAGCTACGGGTATATCAAGGGAATGTGTCCAGAGAAAAACAAGCTGTTGTGCAGGGATGGCATGATGAGGCCCACAAGTTGTCAGAAGATGGGAAGTAATGGTCCATCAAATGCATGTTTCCTTTTACATTCTCTTTTCTCCAGGAAGGAGAAGCCACCCTGGGCCTTCCCACAAGACTTGTTGATATCAAGGTTTTAGTCAGATCATTCAAGTCTGAGTCAGGTAGGGATCGGCTGCCCAGTAGCTCCAAATAATGGTGGAGCCAGAAGGTAAACAGTAACTTACTCAGGTCTTCTCTCCAGAGCTTTGGAGACTGACTCCATTCTAACCTGACTGAGGCCAAACCCGGAAAAAGAATGATAGCTACAGGGATGCCTAGAAACTGATGCTTAGTTCAGTTCAGAAACTAATGCTCGAAAGCTCAGGGAAGAGAGCAATAGGGAAATTCAAATATTAAAGAGTAGAAAATTTGAACCTGGCTCCTATACACTCGAAATCCACAAAAAGAAGTATACTGTATGACCACTTTGGTACATCTAACCTTGAATCTTAACTACACTTGGACTACACTTTGTTATTATGACATAAAAGTCACATGTACATATCAATTTAGTGTTTGGGGAACTGCCCAGATACTTTTAGAATTAATACCAGGAGATGAGAGTTTACATCCCATCTTAACCTCACCTTGCCTTCACCTTTCTGTAGCCTACACTTAAGAACCATTTCAGGCTCTTGAATGAATAGCACACTCAAAATTATTCCAGTGCACAAAAGGAAATGCATATGATTTATGAACAAAGACTGAATGAAATTTATATGTCCAAATGAGACAATTTCCTAGAGGCAAAAGCTACATTCATTCATTCAATTTGCGGAGAGGAGCTTTTATTTCTCCTCAGTTTCTTTTCTAAAAATGAGTGTGTTCTATATCTCCTTGATGCAGAAGAGGCTGGTAAAGCAGGACGGCATGCAAGGAATAGGTTTGCTTGCTTTGCTGTACAGCGTTGATGATTTCTTATGTTCTCAAAGTTTGGCCTGCTTCTTGTAAAGTGGTAAAATTTTTAGGAACAAGATCTCTTCCTAAAAATTCAGTTAACTTGTAGCTTCATTTGTGTCAAAATATTAGACTTTAAATCAATTACTACATTTTTAATTACAGTATATTAAAATTTTATATGGAACAATCATGAGAAAACCAAGTTAATGCATTTTTTATAAAAATTTAAAACTTTTAAAAATTTTTATTTATTATTTTTATCATAGTGACACTGGTTAATGAAATCCAGTAAGTTTCAGGTATACAATTCAACAGTTAAGTCATACATATTTTGCATTGTATATTCATAAATGCCCACAGATTTCTTTCTGTCATCACATATTTGACCCCTTTTACCCCGTCTATCTCTCCCCTCCCCACATCCTCTAGTAACCAGTAAATGCATTTTTACGTTCTTGCAGCAACCAATCTTCAGATGTATAAAGGGCAATAGTAAAATTAGTAAAAAAAAAGAAAAAAGAAAAAAGTAATAGAAATTTATATATGTGACATTTCTATTTTCCCACTCCCACATGTCTTTTTCTCCCTGGAAAAAAAAGCAAAACAGGGTTTATATCTCTAGCCAAAAGTTAACAACATCCTGTTGCCTTGATTTGACATTAAACCCAGGAACATATTTGCTAAGCCTAGTTCTTAGGTGTGAAATGCCTTATGTAAAATCAGTTAAAATGTAATTGGCAAAAAAAAAAAAATGTTTTCTCTCAAAATGGCTATAAACAAAACAGACACTTTCATACTCTTTAGCTTCGAAAATAGATACGTAAACGGGAACATATGGTACATGCATATCTAGCACATTTATTAACTGCTTGTCAACATAGCCTTGTCACAACACCCCAGTGTTCCAGCCTCAGGAGCAAACCCAACCCCAGTTCAGAAACGGAGCAGACCTATCCCAAGTCACTCACATGTGCACACAGCCAGTTAGTGTCTTCCTCTCGCTGGGGGCCCTGGGTGCATGCAGAACCCCAGCATAGCTTAGCATTCACACAAAGAAATTTCTTAATGTCACTTGTCACTTCTCCTTTTGATCGAAGTTATTTTTGTTTCTGCTTTGTTTTCTTTACTTGAACTATAAATTCTTCAAGGTCGGGATCTATGACTGAGTCAGTGTGTATAGACCACAGAACAGGCAGCATATTGTTGATACTTAACAATGTGTTAAATGAATGCAGAGACACAGAATGAGGTGCCCAGAAGGAAGGAAGAATGGACACACAGAGTGGTCAGAACAAGCTTCTGACATTTGCTATAGGCTTTCTGGCTTCTCTCTAGAATACTCCCACAGACACCAATTCACCTGCTGATTAACACAGGCCTGCAACGCACCAAGCAGTTCAGGACAGGAGGCTGCAGGTTAAGAGCGAGTGGGAAGTAGGAGAAAGGAGTACTCCAAGCAACAGCAAAAAGACCCAAGAAGCTAATGAACTTGAGTGTGGGCATCGACTGTCAGATGGTTCAGTCACCCTTTCCCCTCTCCCACCACGACACTGAATCCCAGACCGTAGGGCCTTTTCTAAGAAACAGTGGCCTTGCCTCTTGATGGGCCTGACCTATATAGGCTAGTGCACTCTCCATGTGAGGGTCTCTGGCTTTGCTTTCCACGGACTGCGGCTGGGGGCTGGGAGACCCAGGTCCCCTTCCTGGGGGACACAAGGCAGCATCGTCAGCCCTCCGCAGTGTCCCTCCGTCTAGTCCTGGGAGTGGCGGTCCTGAGAGCTCTGCCCCGCGCAAGCACGACCCAGGGCAGCCGCTCAGCTCAGCGGTCTGAGATGCTGAACAGCTCGCACATGAGTGGGGTAGCAAAGGGGTGGACGTCCTGGATGCGCAGCAGCCGCTGTGTGTGCTGGGCACTGATGCTGCGAAGCTCGGTGAGTGTAGCCATAACCTTCAGGAACAGGAACCTGCAGACCAGCCAGAGGACAGGATGGAGGCTCAGCCCACACTGCCCACTCCCAGCAACCCTGGGACTGCCCTGAAGTGGCACAGGTTTGGTGGTTTTAATCTCAGGACATCTCCGGGCAGCCGAGAGACAAGGCTCGGTTGAGTTCTCTAGTTTCTCTTTTAGTTGCAAGAGAAGGGCAGAAAGCCTGGGGGATTTGAGGTGTGGACCTGCACTCCCCATTCACCGCTCATCCTCTGGGCTTGAGTCCTGTACACAGAGACTTCCTGGGAACACCTAGGCATTGCTGTTGCCAAGTGCATAGGTCAATTGGGAGTTTGGGAGTAGGAATTGCTGTCTTGGCTAACGGCTAGGGGTCAGGACTGAGTAGAGTGTTTGTGGAGGCAGGTACTGTAAGCTGCACTCCCTTCCTGGACCTAGCCCAGGATCTAATGGCCGAGACACACCTTGTGCCTCAGTTTCCCCATGTCTCCTGTCTCCATACAGGGGAGGGCTGAGCAAATGAAGACATGGCCGCGGCAGCATCCTAGGATTCCGGGCTCAAAACTGAAGCAGGCCAAGTAGGGACTCGAGGCTTTGAGTTCACACCAGCACACCCAGTGCTGGCCTTCACCCCTCGTGGCCCAGGCCTGCGGACTGCTGAGGCCCAGTGCAGGGGTGAAAAGCCCTGTCTGGCAAAGCCCCAAGCAGCTTTCCACCTTTTGGTTGTGACCAGAACAAACGAAGGAGCTTCTTGCCCTATTTGCTTGTCTTTGTTCTGGGAGGCAGTTAGGCAGTGCTTGAGAGTGTGGGCGGTGGACTTGGTCAGCCTGGGTCCACCTTCAGATCCTACCTGTCTGGCTGTGGAACCTGAGATGGTTGCTCTGAGCCTCCAGTCCCCTGCGGGATGGTGGCGGCACCCACTCAGTGGGACTGTTTCAGGATTAAAGGTGATTATACATGTGAACTTCTTGGTACCAAGGCTGCCACTTCTCAATAAATGATTGCTATTATAGATTTGTTATCATCATCGCTATCGCTGGTTATTGCTAGAAGACCCTGTAGGAGCCTCACTAGACCACCTGGCTGTTCCCATCCCTTGATGACAGGCGCATGGAAGGCCCTGCAGACTGAGCTGTGCCCAGGGGCCAATGTCCTGGCAGCTGGGCATGGGTTTATCCAGTGTTGGCTGAAGCTCAGGCCGACTGGGCAGGAGGCCTCAGTGCCCCCAAGCACTGGTAATCAGAGGCTGCCCCAGGAGTGGCTCCATTCTGCTTTCCCAGAGAGCCCCAGAATAGGTGGGGGCCCTGGAGGACGGGAAGGCCAGGTCCTCACCCCCACACACCCTCCCTGCTCGCTGCTCACCGATGGGCGGGCTGGGGCCGATTATACTCGATGTAGGCTTTCAGGGCAATGGCGAATCGCTCCTGCAGTTGGTCCACCACACTGCGCTGTACGACACCTGGGCGGTCTGGTGGGAAAGGGAAAGCAGGGTGGTGCCCGCAAGGCCATGGGGACAAAGACAAGCTCCATCCAGCCCAGAGAGGGCAAATTGCGAGGCAACTACCCTCCAAAGCCAGAGATCCCCAAGCAGGGAAATGAGGGGAGCACTAGGAGGGCTGTGCATCACCCCACAGACCCAAGGAGAAATCAGCCCAAGTCCCCATCCTGGCTGTGCAGTAAGTGGGGGTCAAAGCCATCAGCTGGGACCTTCCCTGGGGAAGGCAGAGGAGGGCCTGCTGCCTCCTGCAGCTATATCTGAGGGGCGTGAGCAAGCCTGGGAAGGGGCGAGGCCAAGCAGGATACGTGGGGTCCTCACCTGGGGAGAAAAGGGAGATGGCCTGCATCAGTACATACTCCTCCTTGTGCAGCTGCAGCTTCTTCAGCATGTAGTGGAATTTCAGCACAGGCTCCAGGAGAAGCTGCTGGAAGTCACCTGTGGATGGGTGCAGGACAAAGGGCAGACTTGTCAAGAAGTGGACCTAAAAGCCAGATTTCCCTCATCAAGGCCTTTCTTCCTATCGTCCAGTCTTCTGCCCTACACATCATGGTGTGGCTCCTCTCCTTCCCCACTCCCCACCCCCAAGTTGTGTTTCTCTCCCTCTGCCAGGGCAGGCAGGCAGGCAGCTCTCGGTCACCTTCAGGGTCTTCCAGGCAGTAGGACAGCCGACCACACTCCCAGGTCCCGGTCTCTGCATTGAACACCATGTTGAACCTCAGCTGGCATAGCTCAAACGTGGCCCCCTTCAGCAGGGAGATCTGGTCCTCGATGGGCAAGTCTCTGGAAGCAAGCATGGGAGCAGAGGTCAGCTTCCCAGGAAGCCACCACAGGCCAGCACCCCTCTCCTAATCCAGAAATCAGGGGAGAGGGAGGGAAGAAGCAGCATGGGGAGGGAAGAGGTAGGATGGGCTCCTACTGTGAGGACTGTTGCAGTTGCTTTTGATTGCCTCCGATCTCGCCCCCTCCCAATCCAGTCAAGCACATTACTTCTCCCTGCCACCTTCCTCCAGTCTCCTTCTACCTTCGGGGACTCCCCTGCCAATGGAGCTTGTCAGCCAGGTCCCTTACAGCCTGGCCCCATCTCCTCTAACTCGCGGCACAGCCACTGACCCACAGCCGATGCCGCAGCTCCTGGTCCCTAGCCTCACACTTTTTCCTCACTTGGAATGGTCGCCCCTCTAGCGTCGCTGGAGTAAATCATGTCAGTCCTCAGGCCAGCCTGTCTTTGTGCCTCCTACAGGTCTTCCCAGAGTGCAGAGTCCTACTGCTGCTGCTGCTCTTCAGCATGAGCTCCGTGCAGAGCGGGTACTTGTTTCCTGTGGTCCATTTTGGATTTCGTATGTTTGCGGCTTCTCTCCAGGCAGCAAACTTCTCCCAGTGATACGGGCCCTCACTTGCAAAATTCTTAATCTCTTTAGTAAACTTAGTTAAGTCTTTTCTTCCCCACTTTCTTTGGAGAAAGACCCTTTCCCTGAAACTTAGATCATTATCTTGAAACTGCTGACTCAGGTCCTCTGGCTATTTCTAAGGATGATTGAAACTCAAGATTCTCCTTTGCCCATTATAAGGCAGGAATGGCTTTAGGCCAGAACAGGGCCCTGAGAGTCCCAGAAGGGAGGGGACCTTTAACCCAAGTTTTTTCTTTCTTTTACGAAATATATTAACCAAACCCGTTTTCCTTTACCCACTAGATATATGATTCAAGTAAGAAGTTTGTATCTTCGTTTTTCCTTGTCTAGAGACAGAGGCGGCACTTCGGGGGGATAACCAGGACCCTGTCCTAAGGCAAGTGAGGGACAGAGCTCCATGAAACCCCAATAGGTAGGGACGAGGACGCTCCTCAGCCGGAAGCAGGAAGCAGATACAGAAGAAGAGACCTCCCGTCCCTTGACATCCATACTAATGAAAAGGGGGGTCATGGCTCTTAGAAAAGGGTTAGGCAGGAGAGTTAGATAGGGGGTTTCAGGACCACCTGCAAAGATGCTGGGGTCATCCTATCCTAGAAAGAGTCCACCCTAGTCTGCCCATAATTAAGCAAGCCAGAAGGCATTTTGGGGCTAAAAGTAACACAAGTGAGGAGAGAATTGGGTACTAGTTTCAGCCAGTCACTCACACCTGTGCAGTGAAGCCCCAACGACCTGCAACTCACCTGAGCCTGGTTATACCATCATTATAATATGAGGCACATGCTCGGAAGTTCATTAATAGCATTATAACCAACTGAATTCTGGAAACAAACATGCGCAGAAAGCAAATGATGAATCACTGGGTCCTGTCAATCTTAGTTGTCAATCAAGGAAGCCCACTTCTCTAAGAAAGATAACCACCCACAGCAAATAGGGATAAAAACCCCCAAGGCTGTTCCCAGGCCTTCGAGCCACGCTTCTCTTGCTCAGGCCCGCTTCCGCGTCTGAAAGGGTATCTTCGCTTCTAAGAAAGCTTTTCTTTTCTGCTGTGTTTTGGCGTCTTGCTCAATTCTTTATTTGAGACATCAAGAACCTGGACAATGCATCGAGAGAGGAACTCCAGTCTCCGGTAACACCAGCACTGAGCACAGGCCTAGCCACAGTAGCTGCCTCTAAGATCATGATTAGGTTGACGCTCCTCCTAACCTGAGAGGTCTCTCCTCCTGGCTTTGCTCTCCTTGGAAATTCAGTCCCTTGTTTTCCTCAAACTCCCCTTTTTTAGATCCATGATATTGAGATACGAATGCCATGAAATTGACCTTATCTTCTTGTCTCCCCAGTGTCCAGCCCAGGACCTGAGAGGTAGTGGCTCTGAACTCTAATCTGTGCTTTCAGATCCGGCCTCTCTGATTCACTGCAACCCTATGCAAGTCCTTTAACCTCGGTGAACCTCAGTTTTCTATTTGTAGAATGAAGGTGATAGTAATGTCTGCTTCCTGTGTGGTCATTCTCAAAACTGCAGCCACGAGAAACAGCGAGTACCTCCCCCCCTGGTGTTAAATTTTGGGTCATCAGACGTCAGTAGGGATGACCCAGGTCCCCATGGGTAAGTAGGCCCCTCTCCCCGCTCCCTGGACCTAATTTGCCACAATCTGAATTCTACTTCAGCCTAGGGTCACCCTCACCCCATTACATAAGTCCTGTGGGCCCCTGGAATATAACCTGCCCTCTGCCTGTTGATAAAATCAGGGGCTCCGTATGTGTGTGTGTGGGGGGGGGTGAGTGAGAGAGAGAGAGAGATTGAGATTGAGAGATTGAGAGAGAGAGAGTGAGAGAGAGAGAGAGAGAGAGAGAGAGAGAGAGAGAGAGAGAGAGAGAGAGAGAGAGAGAGAGAGAGAGAGAGAGAGAGAGAGAGAGAGAGAGAGAGAGAGAGAGAGAGAGAGAGAGAGAGAGAGAGAGAGAGAGAGAGAGAGAGAGAGAGAGAGAGAGAGAGAGAGAGAGAGAGAGAGAGAGAGAGAGAGAGAGAGAGAGAGAGAGAGAGAGAGAGAGAGAGAGAGAGAGAGAGAGAGAGAGAGAGAGAGAGAGAGAGAGAGAGAGAGAGAGAGAGAGAGAGAGAGAGAGAGAGAGAGAGAGAGAGAGAGAGAGAGAGAGAGAGAGAGAGAGAGAGATTGAGAGAGAGAGATTGAGATTCAGCTCCACCTGACCAAGCCTGGCAAGGCCAGGTGGCCAAACCCAGGACAGACATGACCAGTGCCACACTGCCATCTCCAGCCCTGAGAGGCTACATATTATGGGTCTGTGTTTGCTATCACACCCTGAGTTCCAGGGTTTCTCTCACTAACCTGTTGTCTCCACACCTTGCTCTGGGCAGTCCCAACCCTTTGATTTCAGGACCGCCCTTCCTCATGGCCTTCTCAGCCTTCTGGTGGCTGACTCCTGGAGACTCAGCATCTGTTCCTGTCTCTCTCCTCCCTCTGGACTTCCTTCCCTTTCCTTCCAATTCCTTCTTTACTCTGGAACTATCAATCTGTGATTCCTGCCCTTTTGGGGCGGAGGCGGGGGGGAATGGGGAACGGAATTACTGTCTGAATGTCCATCGTGTGTGAGCTGGATGCTTTTCAGATGTTTTCTTATTTCATGTGACAGCCTTGCAATGCAGGCATTAATAGCTCCCTTCCAGCGGATGAGGAGGCTGAGCCCAGTCAGGTTCAATGGCAGGCCCACAGTCCCAAAGCTAAGGAGCAATGCAGCAATGGCTTCATTCCCCAACAGCGCCAGGTGCCTGGCGGGCAGGGGGATGTGGTCAGAAGTAAAGGAGGGTTTTAGGGTACCAACAGCCACCAACTTCAGAGAGATCTACTCCAGACCCTTTGAACCTGCTGGTCATTTTCTGCTCCTTTCCACACCCATCCACCCAGCCCCTGTGTCCTACCTGAAGTGGGAGATGACTTTGGCAAAGTTGATGATGCCTTTGAACATGTAGGTTGACATGTCAGCCATGTGCGGCAGCATGGAAAAGATTTCTTTCCCACCGTTGTCAGCTGGGGGTCTGTAGTTCCAGACACTGCCATCTTCCCCCCGCAGCTGCAGAGAGACCTTCACTGAGCACAGGTCTTTCCTAATCTGGCTCCACTGGGTAGCTTCTTCTCCCAACGGAGTCTGCATAGACTGTGGGATCTCACGGCTACTGCTAAGCACCTCCGGCAGCTGGGACAGAGTGGGAGGTGGAGACAGGAGAGGAGAGAAAGCACATATTCTCTCAAACAGGTTCCCACACAGGCCCCAGATGGGCACAGAGCCGCAGCTACAGCCTGAGAGGATACACAAGTGCACGCGCGCGCGCCCACACACGCACACACACACGCACACACACTCACTTCTCTCCGCTCTTCTATCAGGTAGTGCACTTTCTGTATCTGTAAACTGATGGTCCCTCACATCCCTGTCTGGTCAGACATGGGTTTGCTCGCTGCCCCAGGGGAAGGTGAAGGAGCCTCCACCCATGGGTGTGTCCCAAGCATCCCTGACCTTGTGCTTGGGATAATCAGAGAGAAGGGTCTGGGAGCTACAGATGGAAAGAACAGACTTCTGGGGCCACTGACTACCAGTCCTCCGAGCTGGGCAGGTCACCTGAGATACTGTGAGCACGGAGGGGACGGAGGGCACGGGGCCACGTGCGGCTGACAGTGCTGAGATCATTGTTGTTTCTTGGATCTGTTCGCAACTGTCATACCCCCAAGAGGCCCTGACACTGTCCTCATAGAGCCCTAAACGCCAGCAGCCCTGGGGCATTTCCCCTTCTGGAACTCCATTTATGGCTTTGACCCAATTCCTACCTATTGTGGAAGGAGAGAGCAAAATTCTCAAACCTGGGCATGTGTCAGAATCACCTGGCATGGGGAGGTCTTGCCAAAACATAGATGCTGGGCCGACCCTCAGAGTTTCTGATTTGGAGGTCTGGAGTGATGTAAGAATTTGCATTTCTAACAAGTTCCCAGGTGCTGCCGCTGCTGCTGCTACTGGTCCAGGAACCACGCTTTGAGGACCCCGGGGAATGAGATTGGGATTTTAGGGAGCTAGCATATTTGCTGAGCCAACTCTAAAGCCTCATACCCGGAAATCCTTGAAATGGGAGAAGGTGGTGTCAAAGGTTTTCATCTGAGCGTCCATCAGCTCCCTGATCATCGTCCGCTGCTCTTCAGTCAGACTCCTGGCTCCTGGCGGCTGCATCCTAATGCGCGCTCTCCTCTTACTCCTGATCAAGGCCCGCCTCTGCTCCACGGCTGCATCAGACATGATCACTGCACAGACAGCAAGGAGCAGGCTCAGCTTTGAGGAGCTGGGCCACCCTTCTTAAACCCCCTGTAAGGGAAGTGCTGGTGACAAGAAACTCGCCCTTCTCCAGACTCACGAGGACTGTGGGCCCCTCTGGAGAAACACTTGGGTAAAGACAGAGGGGCGACGTGCAGCTGGCACGCCGCCTGAGGCTGTGGGATTCGTGACAACTTTGTGCAACAGAGGGAAGAGCTCGAGCTTCAGAATCAAAAGGTGCTAGGTTTGAGCAACAGTTTTGCCACTACCTAGCGGTGACCTTGAACAAACTCCTTAACCTCTCCAGGAGCATTCAGTTTTCTTCTTTGTAATCGGAGTGACAGTGCTCAGCTCCTACTGCTGTTACAATGAGGCATTGCATGGAAACTGCCTAATATAGTTTCTGCCTATATTATAACAAGGCTCCTCAGAGTCCTCCAAGGTCCCTGTAAAGCTGGGGCTACTGCTTAGCTAGAAGTAATCGGCCCAGCCACTTCTTATGTAGCCTACAGCTTCAGGGCCTCCCATGGATTTCTGGAGCCTATTTTTGTGTGCAGAGTGAAGCTGTGGGGATCCTTGGCGGGGAAGGGCCAGGATAGCTGGTGAAGGCCTCTCTCTCAGCTGGTCTGCAGAGAAGGCGCTCTGCCCACATGCCCAGAGAACTTGTCCCCTGAAAGAGGCTGCCCACTCCGATCGATGGAGAAAAATATGCACTGGAATCTTCCAGTCTTTTCCTGATGAGCTTTAATCTCTGAATGACCTGGGAGCACAATTATACCAAAGCTTGACAGGTAGAATGAGAGCATCCTGTGTCATCTGTCTGCAAACGGGTCCTCTGCAGGACACCAGGCCTGGGACAGCCAATGGGCACTAGCCGCTGGAAGATTGGGGGTCATATCGCACCATGTGTCTCTGGCTTTCCTCTCCCAAATCCACCTCCTCCAATATGGCTAAAGCACATGAAGACAATTATGAAAGGGACAAAAAGAATCACTCAAGAGCAACTGCGGGGAAAGGGACGTAACCCTGGCCAGAGACACCCACCACACCCAGAGCAGAAAAAAGATTCCCTCTACCTGTCTGATCCCCCTGGACAGGCCATGGTGGTGCCAGCCGATGGGCTGCAAGCTCTGCTCCATGTGCCTGCCTGTTGCACAGTGGCGACAAGCTGCCACACAGACCTGTGCACGCGTGCACACACACTCACGGTGTACATCTGCACACGTGCAAAGGCACATCCCCACGGCCCATTCCTACTGAGCTCCAGGCTCACAGTGCACCTGGCCCCACACCCGCCCGAGCACACCCCGCTGCTCACTCTCCTTCTTCATGCCACTCTCCAGGCACTTGCGCAAGCGGCAGGCCTGGCACTGCCGCCGGGTCTTCTGGGTGATCTCACAGTTGCTCTTCCGGAAGGGGCACCTCAGCCGGATGTTGCGCTTCATGGCCCTCCTGTGGGAGAGCAAAGAGCAAAAGGTAGGCCATGGGGAACAGGCCAGGGGTCTGCAGGCCACGCCTCTCCCTCCCAACCTGGGAACAATAGCCACACCCTTCGTGGGCCCTCGTGGGCCCTGCCTTTGCCTCTGCGTTGGGTCAGGTTCATAGGAAAGGTACACAGGGTTGGGGGGTGGTGGTGGAACTAACTCTTCAAGCTACCAAATGGTGTGGGCTTCCCTTGTGGCCTCGGAGTGGCTGGAACAGAGGGGAGGGAGGAAAGCTTTCCTGCAACATTCACACTGTGTTTATGCTTTCAGTAGGCCCCTCTAGCAAGGCTGCAGCTCAAGGACCCAGGCCCAGCTGCTTCCCCACGTCCCTGTCCCCATCCCCCTACCTCTCTGTCCTTGTTCCTGGACAATGCTGGAGAGGACCAGGGCTATGGTTCCATGGAGGTGGCCTCTTCCTAGACTCCTCCTTCTCAGAAGAGGCAGCCGAGGGAACCCTACCCCGGGAGTGTAGGAAACATAAGAAGCCCCCTCCCTTCCCCAGCCTCGCTCTAGACTGGGGAGCCAGGGGCAGCTGGAGGAACAGGTAACTAAGGGGAGGCTTTCTATCTCACTGGCCAGTGGCTTCCCTGTGGGAAAAGTGGCTTCTCCTGATTGGCCTGGTGTGGCAAAGAGGTTCAGAGCCCTGTAATAGTGGAGTGTGTGGGCACTGCAGTCACATGCCCTTGCATGGCTGTGCAAGTAGGGAGACGATAGGCTCAATGCCTTTTAGATACCCCAGCACAACCACTCCCTCCTACAGCCCAGGCATCCTGAACTTCTCGAGAAAGACCCAGCCAGTGAGGCCCTAACTTTATTTCCCCCTTTCTCATAGCTGAATAGAACGGAAAAATTCTTCCTTAGCTCTGGCCTCTGGTTCTGGTCCAACAGTATGGAAAATGAAGGGAAGCTGGTTCAGGAACGTGGGGTCAGACAGGCGTGGCTGCAGACTGGGTCCTGCAGGCTGAACTGGGAGGCTGAGCCTTTCTCTAGGTGACCAGCAAGCTTGAGCTTGGAGGCCTAGGCCTTGAACCAGTGACCAGCCCAGGGAGCAGGTTCTTCACAGGAGCCACTCTCTCCCTTCTGCCTCTCCTCCTGGTCCAGGTAAGAGATCCCTGATCCTACCGTGCATCCACCCAGAAGGGCAGAGGGGGAAGGCGCCCACATTTACTAATGGCATGCTATGGATCAGATGTTCTGCAGAGCTTTGCGAATTTAGTTCTCACAACTCTACAAAATATATCACGTCTGTCTGTCTGGCAACAGATGAGGGAACTGAGTCAAAGATAGAGCAATACCTGTCTTCCAGGTAAATGACAAGCTGAAATTTGAATCAATGTCTGTCTGATGCCAGAATGCAAGCTTTTACCATTACAGTGTGCTGCTTCCCTCTGGGAGCCCCAGGACAGCACCAAACGGAAGGAGAGGGCAGAGGACCCCACTCCCTAAGGCAGTCAACATAGATGCTGCTGGCAGGATCAGATTTGGCTTAGGTGTTCACCTTCTTCCATGTGGCCATGTTGGCATACACCCAGCTCAGAGATATCTGGTGCTCTTTGCCAGTTCAGGAGGAGGCTGGGGCCCAGTTCTAGCTGATGTGAGATGAGGGGGTCTCCTGGGAAAGCCTTCCTTGCTCTTAAAGAGAGGAAGCGATGGGCTTTCTGCCCCCAGGCCGAACACTGTTGTTGCTGCCTGTGGCCCTGGGGAGCAAGCTGAGGTCAGAGCTCTCATGTAGGATGGCAGAAGAGAAAAACGAAAGAACTGAGTTGCTGAATTCAGCAATCCCGAAAAGCCTTCAGATTTCTAGTTATGAGAGCTAACATTTCTTCCTCGCTGGTAAACCCCCATGAGTGGAGTGTTCTGTCACTTGTGACTGAAGGCAGCCTGACAGTCACTGTGTCTGGCCTCTGCTATAATCCACACAACATGGACACTCATTTTCTGCTGGAACACAGGCCTCTTCAGACCTGTCTTAGGCCCACCTAATCCTGTGAGACCTGAGAACGGCTCAAGCTTGACCACGTCAGACCAAAGGTAGGGTTTCTTCACTGGGCTGGGGGGTGGGGGTGGGGGCATGAGGGAATTGGGACGCAGGACATTGAGCTGCTGCAGTGCCTTCCTGGACTGACCCAGGCCTGGAAGTCCTCCTGTGAATTCTGGCCCCTGCCCCACCCCCGCCCACAACATGCTGACTGGCATTCAATCTTCGGGACTGTAGGGTTGGCCCTGGCTCTAGGGTTCATTTCCATTTGCTTGTCCAGCCGCCAGGAAGAACTTTACTAAGGTCCAAGTCAGACTGGCCCTCTGGAGAATGCATGAGGGTCCCAAGCATGGCCCCTGAGGCGGACTGCTCTCGGCACACTCGGCCCTCCCTGAGGACAATGGAGAGCCCTGCCTCACACGCTCCTTCCTCCCCACCCCTCCTTTTCTGGTCAGCTTCTCTCCTTTTGGTCTGAGCCCTGCATTGAGCTTTACTCTTCTCTTTCTTCAGCTGGAAAACATGAACCTTTCTGTCTGGGCCTGTCTTGCTGTGAGATGGGACTTTTCAATCCTTTATTTTTCGAACCTCCCTGTTTGCCTGTTTGTAAGTGAGATTGTTTTGTCATAGTCGTCCTTTATTTTATGCCATTCTTTATTTAACAGCCACTCCCTAGGATGGATTTGGACATCTGCATTTTTTTTTTTTTAACATTTGCATTTTGAACTTTCAAATTCTTTCCTGTTTTACAAACTTATTTTCTATTTTATTCAAGAACACATGGAGAAACAAAGGGGTATCTTAATGGAAGGAGGCCTTTCTTGGGTAGGAAGACAGAAGATGAAGGATTTCTCTGAGATATAAATGGCTTTCTTGAGACTCATTAGGAGGCCTTTGAATGGGCCACTGGCCCACACTATGAACCTGGGAGACAGGTCAAGCTGAGGCCCTGAGACGGTGTCCAGTGGGCTAATGGCAGAATCCATTATATGTGACCCAGTGTGTCAGAGGTGGGTGGTGGGTGAAGGTTAGCAGGTTACTCTACCTGAAAAAGCCCTTGCATCCTTCACATGACATGACGTTGAAGTGATAACCAGTGGCCTTGTCCCCACACACACGGCAGATTTGAGGACTCCCATTTCCCTCCTCTGCATTGACCGTGGGCTTTCCAGGAGCAGTCTGATTGTCCGCAGTACACAAGGTCAGCATGGCTCCAGCTTTCTTCAGGTCTCACCCCCAAGTTTGCTTCCCGGCCTTTGGAACTAGAAGTAAAATAACCACAGGGAATTTAAAGGGCTGGACAGGAATGGGCTGAGGCATTTTGCCATTCACATTTGGTTCTGTGGACCCAAGAGCTGACCTATCATGGAAGATAAATGAGAGTGGGGTCGGAGTTGTTATAAAGAGAGATGTCACCATGCCATTATATATACAATAATAGGGCCCTGGAGTAAAACCTGTGAACAAGAGCGTGGGGGAGAGAAGTGTAAGAGGAAGAAATGAGAAAGAAAAAGAAGAGGATATCTGGGTTGGATAGCAGAAGTAATTCTTGAATGGACTGAGAACAGGAGGCCATGAACTGGTCAAAGTCTTGAACAGGGAGCAGCCCATGAGACAAGCTACTTATTCAAGATGGTTTCTATGACTGGGGAGACATGGCGGGGATGGCCCCACAGCTGTTTTGTGGCCCAGGCTCCCAGAGAGAGCTGGAAAGGCTGGGCAGAAAGAGGGTTTTCAATTGAGTAACAACCTGATAGAGGGAAAGAAAGAGAGGAGCCAGGTTCATAATGCAGAAAGAGAACAGACGAGGTCCCAGGTAAGCTGGGGTATGAGTGAATAACCAAAGAACCTGTACTCATTAATAGAGTGTACTCAAGATGCCCACCCAGGCAAATTCCACCTGGAGAGAGGGACTCGCGTTCTACTTGAGATGGGCACTGAGAATGGTGAGTAGAGATGGGGAACTGTCTTATTTGCCACTTGCCAAGGGCCACCACACCACAGATAATATGTCGCCTTTTCTAAAACCAAAGCAAAACTTTTAGTAAAATTGTGACACAAATTTTTATTTCTAATAGATGGCACATGAATGGTGACAGTTTCACTTGTGAGGATGAATTAGAAATTAATCTGTCCCCTGGCCCTGGCCCTCCAGAAATATGAAATAAAAGAGGCTGACTGGAACCTTGAACGGAACAGATGTGTGGTAGAATCTCCCCTGATTTTTCAAATCATAATCTTGATCTCATATAGACTTGCAGACAAAATGTATTCTTTGTGTGTTCACGAAAGACTCAAGCCAAGAATTTTGATTTAAAGTGATCTCGGGTTGGCAGTGCTCCCAGACACCCACAGAAGCAGACGCATGCCTCCTCTGAGGAACTCACTTTCCACCAAGGCATAAAGAATCACACAAGTAATTTTCAAGAAATGTGAGCAAAAACTCACAAATCATAAATCAAAGATAAACACAGCACCATGAGCAAGAGCCAGCAAAAGCAACTTACTAAGAATGAGACTCACAAAGACCCCTGAATTATTCAACACGGAATCTGTCTAAATAAATAGTAAAAAGAGGTTGAAGATAATAGAGCCAAAACTATAAAATTGACCAAGCGGATCTGAAAAATGAATAAAAATTGACCGTAAAATCTGAATAAATAGCAACTATGAAAAATCGATAATAACAATGTCTTGGGAGTTAGAGAAAGCAAAATACAACTAAAATTGCAACAAGGTACAAGTCAGAAGATGGATGATCACAGTGAAAGTTTCCTAGGTTTCTATATTGTTGAAAAAGAAAAAAAGACAATAAATAACCCAGATTTTTATTAGTAAAGTATGCTTGTTAAAATTTCTAGGTAACCCCTCAAAGTCTAGAAATAGAATGTATAACTTGAGAGCTAATAGAAAGGAGAAAAATGGAAGGAGAAAAAATATCCAGCTAGAAAGATAAGAAGAAACTGAAAGAGTGAGACAAATAAGAAGCACAAGATAAGATGGCGGAAATAGCAAATACACTGATGATTAAATGTAAATATATTAAATGCTCCACGGCAGCTGGGGCAATCTAAGGTTTGAGATTAGTATTTTGGGGGTAGATTTTGTGTCAAAAAATAAGAGATGGTGATGGAGGTTAACTAGAATTATTGTGATGATTGCTTTGCAATATATACAAATATTGAATCATTACATTATACACCTGAAACTGATATGTTATACATAAACTATACTTCAATAAAAAAGATACATAATTTAAAGGGATGGAGCAGATACTAACATGGTAACTAATAATTATTGAAACTCACAGTATTCTAGGTCTTTTGCATAATGTAACTCATTTATTCACCATAACAATTATTGTAGCATTTGTCATTTCACTCAACAGACATGTGTTGAGCGTCTACCACACACAGTGTACTCTGTTAGACTGGGTTCTTTTTCGGGTTCTACAAAAGCTGGAAGTCACTGTCTGGGCAGAAATTCAGAGCCTGCGTAAAACCCTCTAAGTGCTCACAGTTACAAAGAATGTTCCAAAATCAAAGGACATCACAGGACAGGAAATTTTTATAGGCAATGTATTGTTTCAGAGTGCACGTTGGAGAAGAACAACCTTTCTTAAGTTCGCAGCTTCATTCAGGAGCCATTTGGAATAGCAGAGTCTGGGGCTATGGAGACGGTTGGCAGAAATTCTGCACATAAAGTATCAACTTTCGACAGAGGAAGACAGTGAGATGGCACTCCCCGAGCAATCTGTATAAATGCCATTCCCTAGAAGGGAAGCAATATGTAATTACAACATAATGAACGAATCACAGGAGAAGCTTAATGACACACACCAAGAAAATGGAAGAAATATCTCCAAAGGGACAGAGGAGAGACATTTACTGAAACTGTGCCTGATTAGTAAATTCCCCAATTCCGTAATGAGGAGGTACTAGAATTAATGCCAGAATCCCACTCCCTAGTTCGGGTATAACTTCTACTTTGTTTTGTCAGAGTTTTCCATTAAATAAACATACACTGGCACATTCCACAGTCCATTCTCCCAGGTAGAGAACTCTGACAGCTACTCTCCAGAGGCGGCCGCCAATAAACCTCGCCTCCCAGGATTCCCACTCTCGTGCAGTCCCCTCCCATGATGAATCTGGGATGGTCTGTGACTTCTTTTAAGCAATATAATGTGGGGGAGTGACACTGCCTGTTCTGGGCCTGAACCATAAGAAGGCCTGGTAGTTTCTGCTTTTGCCCTTTGGGCAAACCACCATGTGAGAAAGTCTGGCTACCCTGCTGGAGTGACCGTGCAGTGAGGTCATGTGACGAGAGAGAAACCTGAGATGACACAGGTGAGGGGGCCCAGCTGCCCCAGGCTTCCAGCCGTCCCCATCAAGCTCCGGATATGTGAGTGAGCCCTCTTGGATGTCCCAGCCCCGCTAAGCAACCAACTGATGCCATGTGGAGCAGAAGAACTCCAAGCTGAGCCCTATCAACACACAGAATCATGACAGAAAATAAAATGGTGGTTGATTTAATCCAATAAGTTTTGGGGAGGCTTGTTACATGGCAAGAGATCATAGAAACAGAACCCTTGGAGCTTTGTTAGAAACAGATCTGAACTGGGGTGGGTGGGAGCGCCAGCTAACACCTGGGGGCTCGATCTTATTACACTCTTACATCAGTCCTCCTTAAAGAATGGTGCCCTGTGGGCAGGAAAATGACAATATCTAGGTGACTGGTATGTGCCAGCCATATCTCTCTTTCATATGAATTTAATAAGACCAATTAGATGTACAGATTCAATGGAATCCAGCTGTGTTTACTCTGAGGCTTACACCTGTGCTCACTCTGCTTGGTGACCTGTGAAATCTAGCTAGCAGAGGGTGACGTGATCACCTCCTGTATTCCATAAAAAATCATTCAGTGAGGCCCTTGCAAAAGTAACTGTGAAATCCAATATTCTGGCTGAATATTAAAGATAAGATCTATCCTCAGCAAGAATGAGCCATCAATAAAAGGATAAATAATTAATGGATCTAGTGTTTATACATGTCTGAGGCTTGCTGGACTGAGCACACACATCCCCACCCCTCTCTGGGTGGGCGATTATTTGACATGCATAGCTAGGAGGAGGTGGAGCCAGAATTTGAACTGAAGTCAGTCTGACTTGAAAACCTGTTCTTAATTCGGCATTATGCTGTGTCTTCTGCAGGATTTGTTTCTGAATGGGTGAGCCATTTCTTAAACTTCATTCATTTCTATGCAACTTTTTCCTAGGCAGCGCATTTCAGAGTCTTCCGTGTCATGTGATTCTTTTGATGTAACTCTCTGTTCTTGGGCAGAAAGTGATTTGTTAAGATCCTTGTTTCTTGCCATCTCCATGCTGGTGACAGCAGAGGAAACCAAGGGACCTTGCTGCCACTCCTGCCACACCAAGAAGCGTCTAGTCCCACGCCCTCTGAAGGGCTACAGGTCCTCCCTTCTAATACTCAAGGTCATGATGCCTGTCCATTGGACCTTAACTAGTTGCAAGGAGGCTTGTATTCTACAGCCTTGACTTTCTAAGCAGAGGCTCATATAAGTGGACAACCATATTTCTAAAAGGACCTGCAGTTTCTCTGGGGCTGATGTTATCTGTTTTCTGCAGATTCAATGGTTCTCAGCCTTCCTATTTTAGTCACTATTTATGTTGGAGCCTTTTTCTTTTGTTTTCCACTAGGTGGGGCCTTTCAGTATGCCCTTTAAAATACCAGCTTGGCTTAGTCACAAGGGACCTCTGGAGAGCTTTGGGATCGGCTCCACATGCAGGTGGTCTCACATCTAAGAAATCGATGAAATTGCTGAAGGCTCAGTCCTGTGTGCATGCAGCAGTGGTTTTTCCAAGCTAATGTACAGATATGCAGCTATTTCATTTGCTAAAGACCTCGAATCCCCTATTAAATTAGGAAGAAGGGAGGTCCTCCATGAATGACACACATATATGCTTGGGAATAACTAATTGCGACCGAATAGGACCCAGCTGTCCCACAGTCTCCCGGAGGTCAAAGGACTTTGTTTTTGCTCCCTGGAGCTGGAGATGAAGTGGACATTGTCCTACTCTCATCGTCAAGAGGGCCTCGTCCCTGCCATTAACCTTGGACTAACTCGCTCTACTCACCAACTTCTCTGGTGCTCAGGATCCTAATAAATAACATGGAAGCTGTTGAAGAGGCCGACATGGCCGTGGGCATAAAGTGGACGAGGAGTGTGCACTGTGAGGGGGAAA